CTATCAGTGCATGGAATGTGGAAAGAGCTTCACCTGGAAAGAAAGTCTCACTTCCCATCGTAGAATTCATACAGGGGAGAAACCTTATCACTGTGTGGAATGTGGAAAGAGCTTCACTAACAGCCACGATCTCACTTCCCATCGTAGAATTCATACAGGGGAAAAACCCTATCAGTGTGTGGAATGTGGAAAGAGCTTCAATCATAGTTCCCATCTCACTTCCCATCAAAGGATTCATACAGGGGAGAAACCCTATCAGTGCCTGGAATGTGGAAAGAGCTTCAGTCAAAGCAACAATCTCATTTCCCATCAGAGAATTCACACAGGGTAGAAACTATTTCAGTGCGAAGAGTGTGATCAGAGGGATTTATGAAAGTCTGGTCTCATTTTTAAATTTCTTTTAAAAAATAGAATTGGAGCTCTTAAAAGGACTGGCTGAAAAAGCTAAAATCAAGACAGGTTTGGACAAGTTTGTTTCTCTTTGAAGGAAAATATTTCTTCTACTCTGAGCCACTTAAAGAGAATTGGATTCCTGCAAGACAACCACTCTTGTCTGGACGTCTAAATTGCTAGGTCCTCTTGGACACATTTTTTCTTTTTTTCGGTTCCTCTCTTAAAGTAATTATTTGGTTCATTTGTTTAATTCGAATCTTAATTTGAGAAATTGGATTTTATGTTAAACAGCTTATGTGTGTTGGTGATCAGGCTGGAAGGAAGAGGGAGGGCTGGAAAAATGCAGGAAACAGGATCTCTTAGGAAAGAGTTATTCTGTGACCTTGACAAACTGATAAGGTGCTGCTGGAAAACAGGCTGCTTTGAGAACAAGGGAGAGGGAGATTTTGAAGATGGCAGTTCAAAAACAGTTAATGCCAGGCCTGTGTTAAATTTGGAGAAGCTATTAGCCCGAATTGATTAAAATCATGAAATGGAGACAAATTTGACCACTAAAGTAGAGACACTGACAAAGAAAACAGAAGCACTAGATATCTCCATGAAAGGAAGGGAGGAGAAGTCTGAAAAGGTGGAAGACAAAAAGTGGAAATCAGTACAGGAGACGCTTAGGATTGATGTGGACGGTTTGGGTGGAAGATAAGAGGCAATTGCGGGCGCTTTGGCGGTTCTTGAGATGAGACAGAAAGCCCAGCCTCTGAGTCGGAGAGGAGAGAGGAGAGCAGGATTTTAGCAAAGGTTTGAGCGGAGTGGCTGGGAGTGGAATTAGACCGGCTTGTGGAGTAAGGAGTGCTCTAGCCGGTGCCTAATGCCCCCTGAGAAACCCCAGTCATCACACCTGTCAAGCCCAATGGCTCAGTCCACATCTGCGCAGACTACAAATGTATCATAAACAAGGCCCTTATGGCTCATGCATACCCGGTGCCAATGGTCAGCCATGTCCTTGCCACCCTGGCGGGGTCTAAGATTTTTGGCAAGCTGGCCCAGGCCCAGGCCTGGTTTGGGTAGAAAACCAATTTGAATAAATCCCCCCAGTGCCACCCCCTGGCCGGTCCTCCTGTCTCCGTCTCCCTGTGCCCCCACCCTGCCCCAATCAAAGTCCCAGCCAGCAGCTGCCCGCCAGGCCTTCCTCCGCCCATCTTGGGGCCTCAAGGCATGCGGGCAGAATTTGGTGGGGGGCCAGGCTGGGTTCAGAGGTCTGCTTTCTTCTCCTTACACTGGGAAGCTTGTCTACTAACTAATGGATAAAGGTTTGTTTGGAAGACTAAGCCCTCTCAACCCCCCACCCTGTTTTAAGGAAAACCCGCAGGAGGAGCGGGTAAGGGAGGCAGAACTAGGAAGTCTAGAAGTGACCGAGGCCGAGCAGCCACAGGAACCAGGACCATGACTGAGTGGACCAGCGGTGTCCAACCCAACGACCCTGTCACAACCGGCAGCCCTGGAACAAGAGCCAGAACCAGGAACCCCTACGAGAGACACCCAAGACCACAAGGCATACGTAGCTGACCGGCATATCTCAACGACTACGAATGCTAACCTTCTGGGCGCAACGGGAACGTAGAGGGGAGGGGGATTATGTACTAAGCTTGGAGCTTAGAAGAAAAGGCTAGTAGGTTCTAGAATGCAACAACTGATTGGCCTGCAGGAAAAGACCAGTCAGGCTCCAGGAGGGAAGCAGAATCAGCCAGTCAGACGGGACTCATTGTGTAAATAATGTATATAACAGCCTGAGGTTTGGGGTGCAATTAAATCACTGCTTTACAAGCTGCAATAAAGAGCATGAAATCACTACAGGACTCCTGAGTAGATTTCAGAGAATCTAATGCATCTTTGGTTGGGATTGTCCAGCAAGGAGATTGGAGATGGTTGCCAGTCAAAGGGTAGTTTAAGACGCGGGGGGGGGAAAGACCTCCTTGTGAAAGGGGGGGCAGTTTTGGGAGACATTCCAGCCGTGGCATTGGGAGCCAGATGAGGAATCCTGGAAGAGGACACTCCAGGCTCATCTAGTCCAACCCCTGCAATTCAGGAACCCCGGTTCTTAGTCCCGCCAGCTCCCTTGAACTGGGCAACTCAGATGCCTGGAGCAGCGCCCCGTTGGAGAGCAGCCTTGGGTCGCCTCTGGAGCTGGCCGGACCTTTTGGACGGCTGTTTCCATCCCCGGTGCCTTCTGCTGGCAGGCCCGGTTGGGAGTTGTAGTGCAAAGCCCATTGAGGGTGCCTGGTCCTGGAGGTGGTTTTCAAGTTGGAACTATGTTTTGACCCTTTGCCGAAAGGAGATGCCACAAAGTGTGTGTGTCGGGAGGGTGTCTTTTCAGTGCCAGGATACAAGGTGCTCTCTTGACCCGGGAGCCCAATCCCTCTCCCCCACCCCTAGAAAAGGGGGTCTTCCCCTCATCCTCTCCTTGCAGAACCCCCTTTTCCTTCCTCTTTGCTCAGAGAGTCGGAACCAACTCTCTCTGAAGGGACCCTGGAGCCAAACACTTGAAGAGTTTTACTTCTCTGGGCCCCTGACCAACCACATGGCTCGATGGTCATTTTCACCATTCCAGAGGCGAGACCCTCCATCCCAACCAGGGAGGGGTGTTGCTTTACTTGCCAACAAGCAGGACACGCACGCCTGTTTGTTGGCATCAGGCTGCAATAAGCTCAGGGGAAGTGGCAGGTTGGGGCACCTAGGAGAATATCCTACACCCGTTTAGCGGACAGACTAAGAGCCCTGGAGCTGGAGGAGGGAGACCTGGGCCCAGTTCCCCCCATGGCTAGGAGCTCTGGAGGGAGGTGGGGAAGATGGGGAGTGAGAGGAGCTGGTTCTGGGTGGAAACATCCACTCTGAGGAAAAGATCACCAGCTTGAGAAAGGAGTCTCTGAGCTTAGTGGGAAGGACAGTGTGTGGTGTCCTGGGAGAGGAAATCAGGCCAGGAATGAACTGGGAGGCTGAGCCAGGAGAAGGAGGAGCTGGAAAGAGACCGGCTGCTGACCTCTCATCCCAGTCAGGAGGGGAGAGATCCTTCTAGAAAGAGAAGACTCCCAAACCAGAGATCCCTTGGGTCTTTGGCTTGGGTACCTCGGGAGTAGAGTAACTGGCAGAAAGTGCCACCTTGTTAAGAGCCAAAGTATTACGTGTGAAACAACTGAGAAACCTTGAAGGGAAATAACATTGTAAACTGAAGGTATCCTAAGTTTTATCCACTCATGTCAAAAACTTCCTTGTTAAATAAAATTGTTAATGTTTATTTGAAGAAAATCCTGCCTGAGACTCCCAATTAGTGAGTTTTACCTCACGCAAGTCCCCCACAAGATAATCTGAGGTAGTTGGAGGGCATTTGTGAAAATTGTGTTCTGTGAGGTGGGTGCACTATATTTAGGAGAGAGAATGGGCCCAAGGCTGCCAGGGGGGAAAAGAGCCCTTGCGTCGTCGCATATTAATTGGGGGCAGAGGTGGGATATGAAGTTAAAACCCACACAGATCCTATTTAGTTTTGAGCGGACTGGCAGACTTAAACATTCATGAGGAAAACTGGGTGCTGCACTTACGCCCACAGAGATGTGGAATTTTGAGTGAAATTACCCAGATCTCAGAGAGGATGAACCTCTGATTCCCTCACATTTAAAGAGAGAGTGAAAGTGCGCTTTGGACTGACTGCAGAACAAAGCCAAAAAGCCTTTTGTGAAATTCAAAGGAAACCAGGAGAGACTTAGGCCCAACTGGGTAGCCGAATTGACCAAGCTCTGGACAGATGGGAGGAAAGTTGAGATGAGCTCAAACAGCTCATCAGTTTAGAGCAATGTTTCAAGAGGTTCCTGCTCATTTAGGCTGAAAACAGTAACTGAAGTCTTCTAACCTTGGGAGATGAAATCAAAGGAGACTTAGGGGGAGCAGTAATACTCAGTCCCTTCCAGAAAAGTAATGATGGAAACCCAGGGAGGAAGTGGGGTCTCAAAACGACAACCCTGAAGGGCGGGGCCCAAGGTGCCGGGGGGAAAAGAGCCGTGATACGAAGTAAAAACCCACACAGAAACGTACCCAGAGACACAGAACAACCAGTTTAATAAAGGAGTGAAGTTCTTTGACTAAAAAGAGAGAAAATTCCTGTCAGAAAATGACCAGCAAGCGCCAAGCAAAGAGACTCAGGATGACCCAGCTGCTGCGTCTGAGGAGAATCCTAATATATTGAGTTAGAGATGATGAGGCTAAGATTGGAATTGTCTAAGGTTGAAGCAGAGAAAGAAAGAGAAGAGGCCAGAATGGCAGCTGCCCTTCATCTAGCAGAGATACAGGCAAAGAGAGAGAGAAGAGAGAGAGAGAGAATATGAATATTGTGAAAGCGGCAACTTATATTTTAAATGGGGAACCTCTTTATGGAAATATTTGCTTTTGTCTTAACAGCCCTACATTAGGTAGAGGCAGTGTGGTGCCTCAGGCAGCAGGCGCTGAGTTGGTGGGTAGAGTGGGGACAGGGAACAGTAGCAGCAGAAGCAAGGTGCTGGAGGACAGAGTTCTATGTTGCACATGGTCTGCTCTGTGTCCCCTGAGTGAGCCTCCTGCTCTCAGTGTGCTGTTCTGTTTCCATTATTGAAGTAAGATGCCACTGCCAGTCCGATGGGCTTCTGGCAAGTGGAACGGCACAGGTAGGGTGTGCCTTGTCCTTTGTCTCAGAAGAATGTCTTTCAAATCTACCTGAAAGTTTTTTCCGGGGCGTATTTCCAAGCAGGAAAGATTGTGAGTTCTTATCAGCAGACAGTCACCTTTTTGTTTTGGTTGTTGTCCCTGAACAGGTTTAAAAATGGTGTAGAGCTGCCTCTTGATAGTAAATCTCGATACAAAGTGAAGGTTGAGGGTAAAAAAACACACTCTAATCATCGAGGAAGGAACAAAGCCGACAATGCAACTTATTCAGTGATGACAACGGGAGGACAATCATCTTGTAAACTAAAAGTTGACTGTAAGTGTGGGGGTGGGGTATGGTTTCTAGTTGTGCTAGAAATCGTACATGTGATGCCTTCTGAACCCTCCTAGTTCTACTCAGCACACACATGCGGGACAAGCAAGTGAAAGTGTCTCCTTTTAAGCAACTACTGGGGAACATGAACATTGTACTAATTTTTTTATTCTACTCTCTAAGCCATTTATTTGCATGCTTATACCTTTTATGCTGTTAAACTGAGAATTCAGTTATGGACAGCATGCTAATAGGCTCTGCTTCTAACTAGACAATAAATTAATTGCATAAATGCAGTCAATGTACATATTTGAATGAATGAATGAACTTTATTACGGTCACAGACCAGGATAAAAAACAAACAAAACAAACATATAAATAAAATAGCAGTGAGGGTTTTTTTTAAAACCGATAATTGTTAGAGCAAATAAGAACAAAGAAACAAGCATAGGATAAAACATCTGAATAAAATACAAGATTACATATTTGTTCTGTACATAGCAGACTTGGGAAAGATTGAGCAGCCTCAGGAGGACTGTGGAGCTGGGGAGAAGTTCAACTCTTTCTCTCCCTGCCATGAACCTAACAAAAATTGCTTATCTGAATCGGCTATTTGTGGCTGCTACTACAAAACAAAAACATGCATGTTCATTGTATTCAGGCAATTCATGTCTTGCTTGATCTTAATACAAAACTTGGTAGGTTCTTAGATGCACATTGGAGCTCGCAGTGTGAATGTACACAGCTTCCTGTGGTCCAGATATGCTCCAGTTCAGCACCGCTGACATAAACAGATCAGGATGAACTGCTGCAATAATTTTTCTCATTTCTCTGTTTCAAAGTGAGGCCACTTAAGATACTACATCCGTTGGAAGACCAGACTGTGAGGCTTGGCAAAGAGCTCTCGCGTGAAACTCCATGCAATGAAAGATTCCTGGGGTGAGGAGGACACCCCTTGCTCAGAGTGCAGAGCCAGCAGCTCAGGCAGTTCTGCTACCAGGAGGCCAAAGGACCCCGAGAAGTTTGCAGCCGACTCTACCACCTTTGCCATCAATGGCTGAAGCCAGAAAGGCACACAAAAGCTCAGATGCTGGACCTGGTGATCTTGGAGCAGTTCCTGGCTGTCCTTCCTCTGGAGATGGAGAACTGGGTGAGGGAATGCGGAGCGGAGACCAGTTCCCAGGCGGTGGCCCTGGCCGAAGGTTTCCTCCTGAGTCAGGCAGAGGAGAGGAAGCAGGCAGAGCAGCAGGTGAGAGAGACTTTCCTCTGGATACTCCCAAGGGGCTCCAAAGAGGAGGGAGAGTATTCCCAAATCATTTCCTAATGGCCCATCCTTTTTTGGAAAGCATATTATTATTATTATTATTTATGACACCCATGTGGCTGGGTGCCTTCCAGCATATGTAAAAGCATAAGAAGACATCAGATGTCTTCTAAAAGTTATGCATTTTCTTATCTCCTTATCACCTGATGGGAGGGCATTCCCCAGGGTGGGTGCCACTGCGGAGAAGGTCTTCTGCCTGGTTCCCTGTAACTTCACTTGTCACAGTGAGGGAATCAGCAGAAGACCCTCGGAACTGGACCTCAGTTCATGGAGACGCTCCTGTGGGTAGACTGGGCCTTTGAGGCCAACACTTTGAATTGTGCTGGGAAACGTTCTGGGAGCCAGTGAAGATCCTTGAGGACCAATGTTTCATGGTCCTGGCAGCCAACCCCAGACACCAGTCTAGCAGAAGCAGGAAGCAGCTTTCACCTCTGTCCCCCGAAAGCACTTGCCTCCGCCATTCCTTCTCTAACCCTTCTCCCCATTCTCTGTTTTGAATCCTTGTTGCTCTTTCAGAGGAAGGATCTTTTGGCAGAAATGGGTCTTGATTCTTCTGAGGCAGAGAAGACTCCGCTGGACGCCAGAGTGAGGCCTCTGGGTAAGGAGGAAGGAGGGTTTTCTCCCCCGTTTTGTCACATTCTCTTGGTTTTGAAACTAATCTGTGAGTTCTTTGCATCTTTTAGGGGAAGACACCTGGAGCCCAGAGCTCAGAGGGGGGGGGGGGATGTATTTTTGCACAACTATTATATGAAATGGGTACAAATGTCCAAATGTACTCAGCAGGGGAGACGTTTACTGCAGCTGGTTCAATTCCGCAGTTTATGATCTCATCTCTTCCAGCAACGCCTGTACATTAGTCCAAATTGAGCTCTAATTGGCAGGAGAACCTCTGCTTCTTAATGGCAGCGAACAAGGGTTTTTGGCAGACGAACGGCTTTTACACTCAGCGCCTCCCTGCCTCTCGCAATCCATGCCGGAGCCGGAGCCTGGTACCGAGACAAACTGGGAGTGAAGCCCATTCCCCCCGTCCCTGGGGGCAACTTGCAAGGAGAATTACCCTCAATCATCCTTGTTTTTCCTTTGCCAACGATCTCCCGCTGCCTCCATTAAGGCAGAGCGGAACCGGAAGCTAGCAGGGGAGACTTGGACGAAGCCCCATCTGTACGTAGAGATGCACTGTTTCACCTCTGAGAGAAGCAGGCGCTCACGGTTTCCACTTAACTTTGTCTCTCCCAGGTGACGGAATGATGCCACCAAGACGTGCTCCTTCATCTTTTCATGGTGGTGGAGGGGAGGCAGCAGCTGTGGACCCAGATCAGGTAGGGGGAAGGAGCCTTGTGGGGAAGGACTGCTTGGATGCAGACTGGCTGGATGCAGAGGAATGGTGGGAGGAGCCAGAGAAGAGGGAGCCGACTGGGAGGAGGAGGAGGAGGAGGTGTCTGAAGCTGGAGAGGGAAGAGGGCTCAGGGAGCAGAGGGAGTCTGTGGCAGAGAGCAGCCCAGACTCCGAGGCAGAAGCTGCAGCAGGAGAGAGGAGGGATGAGGAAGGCAGAGAGGGGTCTGGCCGCTGTAGAAAACAACAGAGCCAAGTGAATGTTCTCTAAGAGGACAGCCTTTTTCCTGTTCTGTTAGGGTCCAGTGTGCTTTGAAGATGTAGCTGTCCATTTCACAGACAAGGAGTGGGCGTTGCTGGATCCTGACCAGAGAGCTCTCCATAAGGAAGTCATGGAGGAGAATCGTGGGATCTTGGACTCTCTCGGTAAGGCTCCCTATTGGATCATCCTATCTGTTTTGTAATGCAAGACATCTCTCTATGTGACGAACCTCTGATATTTTGATGAGGCTCAACAGTGCCACCCACAGCACCTGGGATGTTAACACTCCCACAGCAAACCTTGGATGGATGGCTATTGATTGTTTTCCCTGTGAATATTCTTCCTCCAGTTCTGTCGTTTAAAACCATGATCAGGCTGTCTGAACTGCCCAGGCCTTCTTAAATGTAGGATTCAGAGTGATTTGAGGTGTTGAAGTAGCTTCAGTCACGTTTCCTGCTTTTGTTCTTGCTTCTGTCTCTCTCTGGATGACCAAAGAGTCGCTTGACATTGGAGATGGCACAGATTCCACGACTGAACCAAACAAACTCCATCCCAAAACAGAGCCAGGCTTTTTTGAATCTCAGGCAGTGAACCCTGTAGTAACAATAACGATAATTTTATTATTTTTACCCTGCCCATCTAACTGGGTTGCCCCAGCCACTCTGGGCAACTTCCAACAAATAGAAAAAACATAATAAAGCATCAAACATTAAAAACTTCCCAATACAGAGGTGCCTTCAGAAGTCCTCTGAAAGTTGCATAGTTATTTCCTTGACATCTGATGGGAGGGCGTTCCACAGGGTGGGTGCCCCTACTGAGAAGGCCCCCTGCCTCGTCTCCTGTAGCTTCTCACAATAATGTAACATTTAAGTACAGTGGTACTTCGGGTTAAGAACTTAATTCGTTCTGGAGGTCTGTTCTTAACCTGAAACTGTTTTTAACCTGAAAAACCACTTTAGCTAATGGGGCCTCCTGCTGCCGCTGCGCTGCCAGAGCACGATTTCTGTTCTCATCCTGAGCAAAGTTCTTAACCTGAGGTGCTATTTCTAGGTTAGCGGAGTCTGTAACCTGAAGCGTATGTAACCTGAGGTACCAGTGTAAGGAAACTTAAATAATAATAATAATAATAATAATAATAATAATAATAATAATACTGACAAGTTTCTGCTGCATTCTGTGATGTCGAGAATTTAAGAAAACATCCAAATTGGTTTAAGGTGATGCACATCATCATTAAGTTTTTAGCCACTAAAGAAATTTAAATTTGGCAGCTGCTACACACATTTGTTCAATATACAAAATGTGTTTTTCAGCACACAGAAGTTCATTCCCCTACCACAAGGTAGCTGACTATGACCAAGTCAGTCCAGAGTCAATGTTCCCAAATATTTCTCAAGCCCTTACAATTTGTTTAGATTTATTACTGCATATTGAACAACGTAGCATATTAAATACAGTTGTACCTCGGGTTAAGAACTTAATTCGTTCCGGAGGTCCTTTCTTAACCTGAAACTGTTTTTAACCTGAAGCACCACTTTAGCTAATGGGGTCTCCTGCTGTTGCTGCCGCGCCGCCGGAGCATGATTTCTGTTCTTATCCTGAAGCAAAGTTCTTAAACTGAAGCATTATTTCTGGGTTAGCAGAGTCTGTAACCTAAGCGTATGTAACCTGAAGCGTAGGTAACCCGAGGTACCACTGTATATCTTAATTTTGAACAGGGAACTTTCCCGCTTTGGCCACCGTTAAAATAATAATGAAAGCACATTTTATTTATGAAGATAGTACAGATCCATATTTAAGTTTGAACAAAATGACGTTACCAGGTTAAGCTGTATGTAATGGGAATTGGGGTTGCTTGTGTGTAAACCACCAACTGCTCCAAGCTGCTTGGGGTGGTTGCACCTTTCCCTGGCTGAGCAGCCCTTAGGCGCGGCTACTTCAGTCGCTGGCAGAATCCGTCAGTGGGCGTTTTCTAAACTTCTTCCAACATAAAAATTCCTTGACGCCCAGTCTCCGCCTAGATTCTCTGCACGGAAGCCTTCTGCGCAGTGTGGGCGTGCCAAGCGGGGGTCCGGAGCTCTCCCCGCTGATCTCACTTGAAGAGTCTCGGAGCCCTCCCTCCGAAGTGCTCTCAGCCTCCCCTTTCTTCCTGGTGTCTCCTTGATTGCCTTCCCCAGCGGAAGCTCTCTCTCTCTCCTTGCTAGTCCCCTCCCCTGCATCATTGGGGGCGACCTCCCTCTCCTCTGGTCTCTGATGGCAGTTCCCTGACACTGTACTTTAAAAAACTAGAGAGAGAAAACATATAATATTCAACTTGATTTGTATACAAAACTAGACATTTTTACAGAACAAAAGGAACATTATAACATCTAACTCCCTTCAGTTCTTCCCCTGTCCCAAGCATTAATGAGCATTGTTCCATAATTTGGGGCTGCACTTCTTCCCGAGACTCTAATCCGTTTGCCTCTTAGTTTCAGGTGGTGATGAATTGGAAATGAAGAACAAGGGAGACCACAACGAAATCCACACAGTGGAGGAGCCATATCCGGATTCAGACTGTGGAGAGGGCTTCAGTCAGAGCTCCCATTCCACTTCCCATCAAAGAAATCCCATTGAAAAGAAACCCTATCACTGCTTGGAGTGTGGAAAGAGCTTCAAGACGAGCTTTGAACTCACTTCCCATCAAAGGATTCATACAGGGGAGAAACCCTATCAGTGCGTGGAATGTGGAAAGAGCTTCACTGCTAGCTCCTCTCTCACCTCCCATCAAAGAATTCATACAGGGGAGAAACCCTATCGGTGCGTGGAATGTGGCAAGAGCTTCAGTCAGAGCTCTCAACTCACTTCCCATCAAAGGATTCATACAGGGGAGAAACCCTATCAGTGCATGAAATGTGGAAAGAGCTTCAGTCAGAGCTCCCATCTCACTTCCCATCAAAGGATTCATACAGGGGAGAAACCATATCACTGCTTGGAGTGTGGAAAGAGCTTCAGTCACAGGCACTATCTCACGTACCATCGTAGAATTCATACAGCGGAAAAACCATATCAGTGTGTGGAATGTGGAAAGAGCTTCAATCGGAGTGCCCATCTCACTTTCCATCAAAGGATTCATACAGGGGAGAAACCCTATCAGTGCGTGGAATGTGGAAAGAGCTTCAGTCAGAGCTCCCAACTCACTTCCCATCGAAGGATTCATACAGGGGAGAAACCCTATCAGTGCATGGAATGTGGAAAGAGCTTCATTCAGAGGGCCCATCTCACTTCCCATCAAAGGATTCATACAGGGGAGAAACCCTATCAGTGCTTGGAATGTGGAATGAGCTTCACCAGGAAAGAAATTCTCACTTCCCATCAAAGGATTCATACAGGGGAGAAACCCTATCACTGCTTGGAGTGTGGAAAGAGCTTCAATCAAAGGGCCATGCTCACTTCCCATCAAAGGATTCATACTGGGGAGAAACCCTATCAGTGTGTGGAATGTGGAAAGAGCTTCATTGACAGACGCTATCTCATTACCCACCAGAGAATTCATACAGGGGAGAAACCCTATCAGTGCGTGGAATGTGGAAAGAGATTCAGAAAATGCTCAGATCTCACTTCCCATCAAAGGATTCATACAGGGGAGAAACCCTATCAGTGCGTGGAATGCGGAAAGAGCTTCCGTCAGAGGGCTAAGCTCACTTCCCATCAAAGGATTCATACAGGGGAGAAACCCTTTCAGTGCATGGAATGTGGAAAGAGCTTCACCTGGAAAGAAAGTCTCACTTCCCATCGTAGAATTCATACAGGGGAGAAACCTTATCACTGTGTGGAATGTGGAAAGAGCTTCACTAACAGCCACGATCTCACTTCCCATCGTAGAATTCATACAGGGGAAAAACCCTATCAGTGTGTGGAATGTGGAAAGAGCTTCAATCATAGTTCCCATCTCACTTCCCATCAAAGGATTCATACAGGGGAGAAACCCTATCAGTGCCTGGAATGTGGAAAGAGCTTCAGTCAAAGCAACAATCTCATTTCCCATCAGAGAATTCACACAGGGTAGAAACTATTTCAGTGCGAAGAGTGTGATCAGAGGGATTTATGAAAGTCTGGTCTCATTTTTAAATTTCTTTTAAAAAATAGAATTGGAGCTCTTAAAAGGACTGGCTGAAAAAGCTAAAATCAAGACAGGTTTGGACAAGTTTGTTTCTCTTTGAAGGAAAATATTTCTTCTACTCTGAGCCACTTAAAGAGAATTGGATTCCTGCAAGACAACCACTCTTGTCTGGACGTCTAAATTGCTAGGTCCTCCTTGGACACATTTTTTCTTTTTTTCGGTTCCTCTCTTAAAGTAATTATTTGGTTCATTTGTTTAATTCGAATCTTAATTTGAGAAATTGGATTTTATGTTAAACAGCTTATGTGTGTTGGTGATCAGGCTGGAAGGAAGAGGGAGGGCTGGAAAAATGCAGGAAACAGGATCTCTTAGGAAAGAGTTATTCTGTGACCTTGACAAACTGATAAGGTGCTGCTGGAAAACAGGCTGCTTTGAGAACAAGGGAGAGGGAGATTTTGAAGATGGCAGTTCAAAAACAGTTAACGCCAGGCCTGTGTTAAATTTGGAGAAGCTATTAGCCCGAATTGATTAAAATCATGAAATGGAGACAAATTTGACCACTAAAGTAGAGACACTGACAAAGAAAACAGAAGCACTAGATATCTCCA